GTTGTAGGCCCGGCATCGAATCTGTCGGCGGCGGGCCGACGGGCCGACGTGAATTTCTAAATTTGGTTGCATTGGTCTCAAAAAGTTGCTGTAACCCCGTAAGTACCCAGCGCATCGTAGCGCACTGATGGTTACAAGAAGGTGGACGTTTACTGATTCATTTGGTATATCACGTGTGGTGTTCTTTGGCGATGCTTGGAATAAAAGGCAACTACGTGTTTAGCTGCAGCCTGTGTTCGAAACGGTATTCTAACCCTAGCAGCGAAAAAAATACACGGGAGCGGCGAGCGATTTCGCTCCCGTGAGCTTTCAAAGCGCTCTGGTAACAACAATTACGAGAGCGAAAATACAAGAAAAAATCGCTCCCGTGCCGCCGGCAGCGTTCGAAATTAGTGCAGACCCGGAGGCCCAAGCCGACCAAGTTTTTGCTCGGGCCACCATCTCTACGAAACTGGCGGTCCTCCTGACCGGCACTTTTTCCCCTCATATTACGCTGAAATACTACGGTTAGCGCAACGGCAGTTTAAACAGACTTGTAAGCGAGAGCGCATAATCCGACCCGTTCCTCAACGTAGACGGGTTATCCAAAACATCTAGAGCTGCATGAACTCCCTCAACGCATGATTCGCCACACTAACAAAAACTCGCGACAGTCTAAGAAATCAATTACGGCATCGCCAGGCATGTTGCGTAGCCCAGTGATTTTATGACCGCATAACAATAAGTTTTTATATCGCAGGGGTTATCGTGGGGAGTGAGGGTACGACCAGTGACACCTGACACGCACGTAATCAACGCTATTAACTGAATTCGTCACTTTTCTTAACCTAGAAAGTGGACTATTTTTATTCAGTTAGATATCTAGAAGCAATGTAAACTGTATATACTTAAAGATTCTAGGAACTTGTAACGTTGCGGATGTGCGGTAGCATTGATCTATGCATGGGGGTACCGTGGACTGGGAAGGAGAAAAACGAAAGTAAAACCTTACCCAGAAGCTCCCCCGACATTCCTAGAGATTCCAGTTTTTTTTAACATACTCAAAGTAACTAAAAACTCTCTCTGAAGTTCTGAACTTGCTCAGTTGATATCAAAAGAAAGTTAAAAGATGAAAAGAAATGAAGTAAAAAAAAGAAACTTAAAAATAACCTTACCATCATTACCATGATTATAATTCTTGATTTCCTGTCTTTGTCATGTTACCTGACTATGTGTACTGTGTAGTGCATGTCTGTCTGTGTGAATGAAATTGAATAAGAATGTGATTGGTTTCTTAGTCGAGTGAAATGAGATTTAAAAAATGTGATCGAATGTAATTTGTTGACGATTTCTTAACACTGATAGTCTGATACTGGTGCTGAGTGCTGAATGCTGATGAATGATATTAGAGTCAGTGCATCAAAATTATGAAAATTTTATCAAAATCATGCTATGAAAAAGTAGCTCTGGCCAAGCCTAAAATAGCTCTCGTAAAAAAATTTACGAGAGCTCTTTTTTTCATACAAAATCAAAAAAGAGCTCTCGTAAAAAAAAAAGTAATTTTTAGGCTGAACCCTAGCAATACCGTTTCTTGGAGCTAGGGTTAGGGTTAGTGTTAGGGTTAGGGTACACTTCTGTAGTACAAGTCTGGTACACTTTGTGTATACATATGGGCCCATTCCTATTTGACAACCCCAGGTTTAAAAACCCTAACCCTAACCAAACTCACGACATGGGTGTGTAAACGAGTACTTGTGCCCATATTATATATATGTACCTCGGGTACATATCTATCTGTAGTACCTGTTAGTGACTGTTACGACAACGACCCCTTGAGCACTACTAGCCTAGTTCATTACGACATTAGTTGGACCCTACGATGGTGTGCTGACAAAATCCAGGTATGCCTAAACCCTACATTACCAGTTTGAGAAAATCGTATACACAAACCTCTAAACTCTATATCTTTATTATAGCAATGGGCTCCGGTTTAGTTCAATAGTTGTAGAAGAAGTAACGACAGTTCGACGCGCGGCTGCCATATTCACTACGTTACTGCCATCTACTGGTACAATATGAAAATTATTTCCTCCCTTTGTATGACTCATATAGGTCAATCGGGAGCAGCCGGCTGAAAGGGGCGATAGGATATGTTTACTAGGCACTTCTAATTTTAACATATATTTTAAATTTAATTAGGGTCAGGGTTAGGGTTAGGGTTAGGGTTTTTGCATCATTCTTTAATATATCGTAAAATATATGTTAAAATTAGAAGTGCCTAATAAACATGATATCCTATCGCACCTTTCAGCCGGCTGCCAATCGGGAACCCTCGGATCATTCAACAGAATAGCGAACTATTTTCTAGGAATGACGGAAAGAGCCGAATGGGTTTTCCGATTGGCTTATATGTATGGGTATGGCTAGGGTCCATATATATATATATATATAAAGGGACATATATGGACCCTAGGTATGGCCAGAGCACGTATATATCATCATATCAGGAGTGAAAAATAATAGATTATTAGTATTTTTATTCACTATTATTATTCACTCCTGATCATATGATATACGTGCTCTGGTATGCATGGCATGCAAGTGCATTTTGTCTGAAGGTGCGCTGTTGGATAAGGAGTGCGATAATATAGTTTCAAGAGCTACTAATACCTATTATTAGCTCTTGATAGTTTATATATAATAATCAGGCGTGATTAATAATATTAGTATTATCTATTATTATTCACTCCCGATATTATGACACTCGATCCTGATAATATCCTATTTGCCCGTTTTGAATGTGCAAGATAACTAAATCCATTACTAAAGTAAAAAATATGCTAGGTTTTATTATACCACTGCTGTATATAATGAGCTATCGCATTGCATGCCAATATCTATTAGGGTATAATATAAATATATATATATATGTATATATATATATATATATATATATATATATATTCTATATATACATGTGAACAGTTGTACCAAACTATCCGCTTCTATATGAGAGTAATGAGAGAGAAGTCGAATTTGTTTAGGCAGCAATTAACGTCCATGCATAGCACACACCTGGACAGTGGGTCATTTTTACGGTGTGTTCACATTTTGACACGTGGTTATAAAACGTATTCATTCGCAGTGGCTCGATAATGGTTGGACATAACCATAGAAATAATATAGGTAGACTCTATATATATGTCTAATGTCTCTATATATTTCTATGGCCTGAACGTGCCACCAGTCGCACATGAAGCCACCCTCGCGCGTACGTGTATTGCATAAGTTATATATATATATAGTGTATAATATCATAGTATATCTACGGTGTACAGTACGGTGTTTCTCGTTTCTTCGTGCACCCCTCTCATAACTGAGTTCTCTGTCCGAACACGGTGTTTATGAGGTTTTACCTGAATTGAATTATCTGTGTATACGCAACCCTTGGTTTCTGTTCGCGTTTTACACCGTGAAGCTCGTTGAACAATTATGTTTATGTTATTAGCTGTGTCGACAATCTGCGATGTATTGAAATTGTCTTAGCATGTATTCATTCAATATATACTGCTGTCATTCCACCTTCTACTATGTTGCCAATGTCCGGGTGGTAAAGAAGACTGAGCATGCCAAGTGCGATGCCTTGCATACGAGCGAGCCTTAGCTACAGGGCATGAGGAGAAACGTATGCAGCCGTACCTATCTCCCTTCTAAATGAAAGTTATTTCCACTCTGAGGAGTCAGGGGCGCAAATCCAGGGGGGACAGGGGGAGAAGTCCCCCCACGAACTTTCAGAGGGGGGACATCATATCAAATGTCTAGTAACAACTGTATGCAATTTGAAACATGTGGGTCAAACGGTTCTCAAGTTATCGTTGACCGTAGCCAAATGTTGACGGATGGACGGACGTACGACGGACGACGCCCCACGGCAATAGCTCATCTTGACGATGTCAAGGTGAGCTAAAAATAAGGATGTATAATATGTTCTCTAATAGTCGAAGCCTTATACTAACCTGTATTTTTCTTCTCTACGGTCTCTGTCTCTTCTGCCGAGCTTGTGCCGAGGCGAGCGTGAGCGATCACGAGACTTTCGTCGTTTCCTGTCCCGCTCAGGTCTAATTCTGACTCTGTCTCGGCTTCTGCTCCGAGATCTCCGCCTGAAGTACATAGTAATGTTCACCGTTTTAGAGTCGATCGCATGTGAAGAGTTCCCACCACAACATTGCTGTTGCTTGTCACAACGCTTGCCCTGGCAAAACGTTTTATGCGGGTGCTTTATGTTCTTCTACGGTGAGATATGTTAAAGCTATAGCAACAGATATTTACATGGTCATCATTAATAACAGTGTTCAGATTTTCGGCAAGGTTACCTGACATTAAAAACTACACTAAGCTTGATGATAGGCACGGCATTAGACTTCTCAACACAAAATAAGATTGGGGCAAGCAAGTTCTCAAACCAGCCCGACAACAAGTAGACACAATCAACTGCTGAGCAGTTACTCTGCAAAATCTGCGAGCGTTCAACACACCTCAAAGAGATAGTGTGTGTGTGTCTAGGGGGGTGTCGTTAAGAAGACACGGGACCAGTTCAATTCTTTTTTAAGATCATGGAATTCAATGACGGCCTCAGAATTAAGTCAGGATTACATTTAGGCAAGGGTTAACCAAAGCGCCAGATCAGAATTTGGGGATATGATTACGTTTACTGTTAAGGATAGGGCGATGATGGTGATAATGATGTATATATAATTATAATGGGATCCAAAAGTAGGACAGAGCTGACATCACCAGCCTGCCATAAACATGCGATACCCAATTATACACAGTAGGAAATCACACTCCCGTTCGTACTACCTGCGCTTGTCCTTATCACGACTTTTGCTGCGAGATCTCTGCTTGCGACCGACACCCGTCTCCTTCTCCGCGCTGTGGCTCTGTGATAGCTTGCTCTCCCTCTTCGTGTGTCTTTCCCTTACAGGCAAGGATCTCTCCTTCCTAGAGTCTACTTCTACTGAATTCATTGCTTGTGGTCTTAACTCATCCAATGCTGTTTTGATATATTGATTCTTGATTAGTGTCTTGGCACTGAAATCACAAGTTTAAAATAGATTAGAACTTAGAACTTAGAAGTACTGACACTGACAGTGACAGTGACGTTGTACCGTAAAGTTTGGACGCTCGCCCGAAACTGGACGCTCCTAAGTGCGCATGCGCCTCTTGTTTTGCAAGGGCGCATGCGCAGCAGTCATCTGCGCATCTCGCCCATCGAAACGGTCGCAATAAACAAACATGGCGGACAACCCGGTCTCTGATGGAAACATTTGATTGAAACAATTTGCAATATGTACTAAGTTAGTAAGACTGTGTTATGAGTGTCAGGTTACAAGGCGAAACAAAAAGATAACAAAAGAGCATGGCTACGATTTCCTACGGCCCTGCAAAACAAGATTCAAACAAAAAGAAAACAAGAGAAAAACAAAATAGCATGCCTACGGCTCGGCGCATGCGCACTTAGAAGCGCCCAGTTTCGGGCGAGCGTCCAAATTCTACACGACAACGTGTCAATAACGTGATAATGCAAATTTTAAAGGATTTCAGATATGACGGCTGCAGCTAATGTATGTCACCATTATTAGCTGGTTTCAAAACTACGATGATAGCAAATACACGAATAAACGTCGTAGGTGGGGAGTAAACGTCGGGTATTTGTCACGGACTCGTCTAGCTCTAGTACTATAGCCCGCGTACAGTTGCCGCATGCCTGCGGCTAGATACAATAATGTAACCCAACAAGAGTAGGGTTACAACGCGAGCCTATTCTTTTCTATGGAGGAGCCCCTGAGTGATTCACTCAGGGCGGTTTTATGGTGCGTTTTTCGAGACTACAACTTCCAAACTGGGTTTATTCTAAACACGAACCTTTCTCCGCTATCCTGGAACTTACTATGTATCACAATACTGTGTATTAAACTAATATAACCTGTTACAAAATTTTAAAGTGACGAGCGGCGATATTTCGAGCGCCATTTCTGTTGACCTGTGACATACGCATTCCTAATGCGTATAGCGTTCGGCTAACTTCGACTCCAAGATCGAATGCATCATGGGATGCCTGCTGTCATTCATGATGTCACCAGAGCCAGCATGTCAGGCAACACAGGAGCCGAAGGTAGCCGAATGCTATGCGCATTGGGAATGCGTATGTCACAGGTCAACAGAAATGGTGCTCAAAATATCGCCGCTCGTCACTTCGAAATTTTGTAACAGGTTATATTAGTCTAATACAGAGTATTGTGATACATACTACATAGCAAGTCCCAGGATAGCGGAGAAAGGTTCGTGTTTAGAATAAACCCAGTTTGGAAGTTCTAGTCTCGAAAAACGCACCATAAAACCGCCCTGAGTGAATCACTCAGGGGCTCCTCCAAAGAAAAGAATAGGCTCGCGTTGTAACCCTACTCTTGTTCGGTTACATTATTGTATATAAAGTAGGCCTAACCCAACCAGGCTGTGTGACTAATAGTCTACTAGCCAGCCTAGTGAACCTAGAAATGTCGAGTACTATAAGGTTTTATGTTGGAAATGCAATAT